ACTGCCAGGACTCGAACCCTGGCCAGGCTGGGGCTCGAGGCTCAAGCCGTCCGACCAAACTCTTTGCCCACTGGGCTAAAAAGAGCGCGTACGTTTACTCAACCTTGCAAATCTCAAATCTATATAATAAAATTATTCGGCAGTGTACGGCCGTAAATCCTGGAACCGATATCGACGACCGTCATTCCTTACACGTGGCAGATTCCTATGTTCTTGCCCTGTCGCAACAGCACGAGAGCAGTTTCAACGTTCGACGCGGTTCGGTACGCTTAGTCGATATTCTGCGCCAGTCATCCAGAGTCAGCTCCGAAGATATCTACACTTCCGTTTTTTTTCGATCCGTCGCTTTCAAACCCCAGGTTGTCGCGGCCGTCCGATAAAGCGGATCGGCCGTTCAACAGGGAATTAGTATGCTAGCGAAATAGAACCGTCAGTCGTTACGGTTATTGATTGATCGTTCGATAAGAAAAGCGGCTATCTGGACGGCTAGAATTGTCCCGGATAGTGCCATAGGTTGGCCATCCAATCACAATGCATCGTCACCCAAAATATGGCGCCAAGTCCGCATAGCTTTATTAGTACAAGCCTGGCGGATAACACTCGCAAAGCTGACGGGGATTGTCGCCGAGAATCTGAGCTCCTGAGTCCTGGCGAACTGCAGTGCGAGAATCGGAGCTGAGAATCTTTCATTCTTCAGTTTTCTGAAGGATAAGACTTACCAGCTTTCAGGCGTTCTAGCGTCCTGCTTTCCTGCGTAGTGCCTGCTTTCCGATTGCGTTAGACAGCCCCCCACCGTGAGTTAGACAGCATCCGAGAGGCGCCACACCATGGCGTCTCTCTTCAGCCTCGTTGACCAGGCGTTTGTTATGCCCCTCGAGCACATCGCTCACTTTATCCGAGAGGGAGCATGTGATTTCACAGAGGTGCTCTGCACCAGTCTGAGTGAGGTCGCTGGAGGGGATCTCCTCGCAGAGACCGTTCGAGGCCTGGTTGGTGGGGCCCTGGAGGCGCTTCTCCCAGTAGAGGAGAAGGCCCCGGTGCAGGTGCACTGGGGGGTGTTGAGTGAGCTTGTAGAGGGAGAGGAGGAGGAGAGAGAGGGAGAGGGGGAGGCGGTGATGCTGTCTCTTACTGTCCAGGAGGAGGATGACGTGGCGGGGTCTCCCTGGGCAGACTGCGCAGAGGGTGACCGCCAGCAGGTGAGGATGTTTCAGAAATGTTTGTTCAAAGAATGGCATTTGACAGCTAAAAAAAGGGCTTCCAAATGCAGCCAATTGCAGGTAAAATTACTGGTTTGACGTCACTGCGAAGCATAGTCTTTTCAAGAAGGCTGTCTCGCATCTTTTGCTTGTTCTTTCAGGAAATGTCACGTATGCTGGAAGATGACTTTTTGTTGATGACTGTTGGAAGCTGAGTCTAAATTGTCTCACGATGTAGTAAGTAACCTCCAATCCAAATGTACAATGCTGCGACACAATCTCAGGCTTTGCTGGCATGTATGTCTAACATCAAACATTCTGACAATTGGGAGAATACTCTAGGGCCAGTATTTGTTCAGGCCATTTGTAAACTTTAGCAACTGAAGTTCACCTTTCCCTATAGGCGCCCTCTGCAGGGCCCCTCCCTGACATGGCCGACGTCCCCCTCGCCGCTGCCTCTGCGCCCGACCAGACGGAGCAGCGGGGCACCGGTGCAGTGGAGGTGGAGGCCACTATCACTGCGGAGGAGGCAAAGGGTCTCGATGATTTCTTGCTTGCAAAGGGCTTGCCCTCGTTCGAGGCTCTTTGCGTAAGTGAAAACACCAATACAAAGTCGATACCCGTGCCTGAAGCTTTGTTCCTAGCTCAAACCCTGGCTGAAAGAAAGCGTGATTCGTTGTGTTTTGAAATGGCCAGCGGAAAATGGTTTGCTTATGAATACGAGCAAACGACTCTGGCGCCCGGGATGGGGATGAGGATCGGTCTCCCGGCGCCTCCTGCGCAGAGGTTGGCCAGCACCAGGTAATGCGCTGGCAGACTTACTGAGAATGAAAGCTGCAACCGAAGAGTCTCTTGAACAAAGCCAGGAAGAAGGGACACTTTATGTGCTACGATAGACGAACATGAAGAAAGGTGGTGACACAATGTTTGTCTTCAGCAAGAGCAGCATTTTGTACAACAAACACTTCATTTGGGATTAATGACCCATAGAGTTCTGACAGTATTTGCCTATAAAGAAAAAAATGGGCTAAATCAGCCAGAAACAACAATCGAACAAAGCCAAAAGACGACATGCTTCAAAAGTGCAGGAAAAGTCCACGTTTTTGTAGACCAGAAGTCTTGCCGTAACATAACTTCATTCTTCTGAAGTCAGACTAGATGCGATCGACACTCTTGTTGGATCAAGTGTGGTTTGGAAGGCCATAAGCGGAAGAGGAAGTTCTGCAGGATTTCCCTACACAGTACTTGCTGCTTGAGCATTTGCACTCTTGTGCGTACTTCCGTTTGGGACGCTTTCGCTCCAATGCCAGTTCTCTAATGGTTCAGCTCCCTCCACAGGCACCCTCTGCCGCGCCCCTCGCTGAGGCGGCCGCAGACCCCTCCGTCGCTGCCCCTGCGCCCGCAGACCCCCACACGCCCAGCCCCCAGAAGGAGCAGCGGGGCAGCGGCAGGGGCGGGTCGTCATCCGCAGGGGGGGGTCTCTTCAGCTCAGACGCCTTCACCCTCCCCAGTGACGACGGCACCCTCTTCTCAGACCCCCACTTTGAGTACCAGCCCCTCCCATCCCCCGACGCTCGTGCCCTCTCCATGATTGTAGCACTCGATCGGCAGCCTACCCCACAGCTGCTTGAGACCCTGTCGGCACTTGGCTTCTCAGAGGTCGTGCACATTGGTGGAGATGCGAGGGCAGAGTGTGAGGCGGTCACAGAGGTCCTTGGGTGCAGTACTAGAGTGTCAGAGACATTGGGGATCAGTGAGGGTGAGACGGTGGCGCCGAGTTACGCGGAGGCGCTGCTGCCGGAGGGGGTCCTGACGGACATGGAGGCGGACGGGGCTGGGGCTACGGAGGAGGCGATGACGCCGACGGCGCGGGGACAGGACCAGTCGCAGGTGCGTGCTTATCAAAATGCCCGGTATATCTTTTTTGTGCCCCTCTTGACTTTTCTCTCTTTTCTGCAATCTGTCTCGATATTTCAGAAGAACATGCTTGATTCCGTTTGAGTGTCTGTCGTCTTTTCAACAGTTCATTTGGATTGTCCCGAAATTGCGAAGTCAATTATCCTGCTTGCAGCAAGCTCGAAGTTCGTGTCGACCTAACCCTCTTTCTAACCCTCTTTGATACGGTGTCTGCAGGCCAGCACGGCTGCTCTGCGCATCCCGTCCCCGTACTCGTTTCTGGAGGGGGCCCTGGAGTACTACCCAAACGTCACGCTCGACAGGGAGCTGGGCAGGGTGAGGAGCCAATGTTAATACCCGCTCTTGGAATCGTGAACCAACACCTGGTTTAGTAAGCATTGCCGAGAAGCACTAACAGGAAAGGCCCGGTACACAGCATTCGCTGCGTCAGTTGCCACAGTCTCTAACTGAATCTGCTTCCGTCGCTGAAACTTCTGATTGCTCTCAGCAAGTTGTTACCTCACTGCTCTTCTTTGTCCGAATCGATACGGATCAAGTACTCTGAAAGGATACTGATAAGTTGATCTCCACTCGCAGGGCGGGCAGGGCGCGGTCTACTTGGCGCTCGCGACTCGCCCGACGGGAGAGGCCTTCCTCGTGGCCGCCAAGGTGCCGCTGGCGTGCCTCCCGGGGGACTACTTGCTGCCCGAGGTGAGGCAGCCGAGGCCTTGTTTACAATGCAGACGTAACGGTTAGGGTGCGGAATGTTGAGAAAGCAAGGTTCCAATTGAGATGAAGATTGCGCTCCCAAGTTGATGACAACCATTTGCTCGTGAGGTTGGAAAAGCTGAGAAGGAACTGCCTCGTGCGTCGACAACGGTAAAAAGGACTCTCTGTGTTCCAGACTCTCGTCTAATATTCTGTTATTTCGCAAGACGTTCACCGTGAAGTGCTGGAGAAGATTCGTGATGACGGCATAAGGTGAAAAAGTCGACGACCTCGTTCTTCTCTGGAAGGCGTATAGATGCTGCCTTGCACAAGCTAGCACTTCAAAGACCCCTTGCTTGACCCCCCAATTCTTCTCTTCTCTGCCAGGCCCTCAACTGGATCGAATGCGCTTCGTGCCCGAACCTGATTCCGCTCCTGGGGTTCACGATCCAGCAGGACACGTTCATTCCGCTCTTTGGGCTGGCGGATCCGTCCCCCGCCTGGACGGAAGCGGGTGTCAGGGTGCAGGAAAGCCCCTTTGAGCTGTACCGGGTGGCGGTGTTTGCGCACCACATTGCGCGCGCGCTCGCGGCCATGCACAGCCTCGGCTGGCTGCACTGGTGAGGACACCCGTTGCTGTCGCTTTCCGTTCTGGAAAATGCGAAGCAGGGGTTGCTAAGGAATGGAAGTCAAAGCGAAGTCTAGCAGGGTCGAGGAGGGAAAGCTTGGGAACTTGATGAGAAGATTGAAGTGGTCTGATTCTGGTCGCAATTATGGCTCCGTTTTCGAGCTCGTTCGTTGCGTGGTAAGTGCGACAAAAGTTTTCCTAGTCCAATCGGCTGCCGCTGCTCAGTGCTGAGCGGACCTGGTTTGGTGACTGCCACGTGCTTCTATTTACCGGTCTCGATGGCTCAGCTGAACTTTGTGAGCTGCTTCTGATGTGCCTGCAATCCTGTGTCGAGTTTTCGTACATCAAGCTGATCTCTCTTTTCCCCCTGCAGTGACGTCAAGACCGACAACCTGCTCCTCAAGGACGGCTGCCCGGTGCTAGCCGACTTCGGGCTGGCCATCCACGAGCGTGACGCGCCGGGCAGGGGGTTGGTGAGCGCTCTTCGTTCTCCCTCCTCCTTCGCTGACCTTTCTCCTTTCTCCATCTTCGCTTACCTTCCTTCTTTTCTCCTCTTCGCTAGCCATTCCTCACTCTCTCTTCGCCGGCCTTTCACCCTTTTTGCTATCTTTCTCCTCTTTGGCCACTCTGTTCCGTCCATTCTTGGCTTTCAACAGCGTGCTATCTCACGAGCTTCCAACGAAAAAACCACTATAGGTTAGTAACATGAATTTCAGAGCGTCAATCCGACGAGTCTGCATTTGCTGAAGTCACCAACTAACCCACTAGTCGAGCGACGTGGCTTCTCCTCAACACTGCCATCAGGCCTGAAACTTTGCCAAACCCTGCTTAAACCCGTCTGAACCCCGTACAAGCGATGCCAATTGCCCTTCTAAGTTATGCCTAGATGCTGTGTATCTACCGCTCTTCGAGCTTGTCAAACCTCGCATGAATCTCAAGTAAGCCCTGCCTAGATCGCCCCTTACCCCCCACTGACCCTGACCAAACCCTGACGTAACCCTGCTTTTCTACAGTGCGGCAGCCGGGGCTACATCGGCCCCGAGGTGTACCTGAAGGGGTATCACACGCAGAAGGCCGACGTCTTCGCCCTCGGTGTCGTCATTTGGGCGCACGTCACGGGCGGCCGCCCCCACTACGGCTTCCGCGACACGCGGGTGAGGAGATCTTCGCCCTAGTTGTTTCTCGCGTGCTTCGAATGGGTCCCGTATGCACTGTGGCGATTGGACTGGTTGAACGCGCACTGTAATCCCTTGATCTTTTGCCCTCCGAACAATTTAAAAGGGATTCGAGGCATGTGTTCCGACCCTTGGTGCTCTAAGGTGATGCGATCGAAGCCTTCGCATACCTGCTCTCTTTCCGCTCTTGGCCAACTCGACAGCCCTTGAAAAATGGGAAGTAAACACTACCAGATATGGACATCTGAACGGACCAACATTGACCAAGTTTACATATCTCTTATACTCCGGGCACCCATCGTTCTATTTCTAACCAACTTTTTCCCCTTTTATTTCCCCAGGCGCTGCTCGCGTGGATGGCCCTGGGCGGGTGGTACTCGTGGCCCGCGGAGGTGCACGCCCACGGCGGCGACCTCATGGCGCTGGCCGAGCGCTGCTGCGACGCCAACCCCGACCGGCGGCCCACCGCGTGCCAGCTGGCAGACGAGCTGCACGACGTTGCGGAGCTGCTGCGAGCGCAGTGCAGCGACACGGACATGGCGCGGGGGTGGGATGGCTAAAGGAGGGAGGAGAGAAATTGGTCCATTGCGTGGAGAAGATTGGGGACGGATTCTTCAGCAGGAGATGATTGGTCCCGGTCAGGCGTGTTGAGTATATTAGTGGATGATTGTCATTGCGCGCGCGCCATATCGAGAGTAGCAGGAATGTAGTATAGAGATAGACCGGACTGGACGAGTTGCTTGAGGGGGGCGGTATTACATTACAGAAAACTGCTTCTGGAGATTATTAATGCAGCAATAGTGTGTTGTGCTTCGGCGAGTTGGTGCTATAGAATAAGAGTGTCAAGCGGCGGGAGGAAGGGGGGGGGGGGCTTACGGACTGCATAATTGAAATCGCGACCAAGGCGGGCAGCAAGGTTGGCCTGGTGTGTAAGGTTACATTAATGCGCTTCCAGTTTGATTATCTTATAATCATTATTGATGCTAAATTAGAGATACTGAGACTGCCCACCAGTTTGATTAGAACTGGAAGTACTGATCTACTTTTTGCAGCGGCTTCGCTACGCTAGCTGGTAGAAATTGACCAGCTGCATTTGACTTAGGATAGGAGAGCATAACTGCACGCAGTATCATGAAGATTGACAAAGGGACTGATCGTCTGCAGATGTGGGACAGTACAGTCCATTAATAGCCATTATTTGACCGCTTCAATCAAGTTGACTACGCGCTGTTTGAAAGATCGTTTGAGACTCACCGCGATCAAAGTACGACGGATTGCAAAAGCTGTCGTTATTTGCAGCTGACTCGGTACGGTACATCAGGACTCCTCCTGCATATCCGCTGGACTTCTATCCGATCTCATGCTGCCTATATCAATGATCTGGCGGCCTTCGCAAGCTCGTTTTCTATCTTTGCATGATTGCGCGCGATCACGGCGAGCTATAGCTCGAGCGTACCGTACCTTACATACGGTATCATTGTCCGACGCTGCATGAAGCTGATCGATGTACTTGACCTACTCGAATGCAATTGTGACGATATCCAGATTGAAGTGCATATATCGCGCAGCGCAGGGCCTCGCGCGAAGTTCGTTAAAATATCGCTCCAATCGATCGGCGCGGCCGCCTGTGCTGTCATATGAAGACACAAGCGTGATCCGATATAGAGTCCATTATTGTCTATATATAGAGGTATACGACGGTCGCCGCCTGGTATAGCCGGCATGCAGCACGCGGGCCTATATGTATCGCAATCTTCATGCACGTGCATGCATCAACTTAAGCAAATCTATATAGTCTCGTCTTGAAGCGTAATATTGGTTCTTTGTGATTTTGCGCGGGCGGCCAGCATATCTATACGCACAGATACTCGGAATGATGATCTTATTCTTTCTACATTGTGTAGGTCGACCCGACCTTGATGATGTCTGAGTTAGCGCATGCTGGCTGACTTTGCATAAACCATGGCATGACCTCAGCTTGTTTATACCTCTGCTTTATACAGTTGCTTTATTGCTGAAGGAACAAGTATTAGTCTCTGCTGATGTACTCAATGCAAAATGTTTTGAGCCAATCGGACGAGGAAGGTCAGTCGATAACACTGTCAACAATCCGCTCTACCATAGCCGCATGCATAGGCAGAACGGAACTTCTGCAGCCCCCGGTGTCGGTGGCGTTTAACCACGACAGAGCATGGAAGCCCTCAATGATCGACTCTAGCAGTTTTGCGCCCTGCTGACCATTTTCTACCGGGGTGAGTGTATTTACATTGTCGACGCAAACCGCGAAGTGGCTGATCAAGTCCACGCGTACTGCGGCCGGCCAGTCGTCCCCGGCCACGAACGATCCGACCCCGGACATGACGTCACAAACGGCACGCGTCTCGTCCCTGACGTCACCCAAGAGGTAGCCGCTTGCGACTGGGGTTAGCGGGGGTTCAACTTGCCCGTCTTGACTTAGACCGCGGGTTAGGCGTTGCAGCGGCTTGGAGGGGATGAAAAGCTGGTCGTTCCGGTTTGGGGGCACCGCGCGGGCGGACATGCCGGCAATCGGGTTGCTGCCGCTTCCTGCACGAGGAAACCGCGCACACTCAACAAACTGCATGGCCAGATGATAGGGCAAAACTTAAGAAGGCGCAGCAGATTGAGACGACGAATCGACACTGCAAGCTGACGGCAAAGGGCTTCCAGATTCTGCACGAAGCTCCAAAAGTTGGTCAATCTGTATTACGCAGATCGTGTTCGATGCTCCTGCCCAATGACCCACCCTCTCTTCCTCGTCGTCATGACAATTCCCTAGAATATTCGCTTTTCCCGTGGGCGAAGACTGTTGAGTGAAGCCACTTTGAAGCCACACACGCAAGGAGTCTGAGCTGACAACCCGCAGCAATGACGTCACGATGGCCTCACCCTGCCGCTCGTCTCCCCCGTGCACCAACTGCAGGCTGCGCTCCCGCTCAAGCACTACCAACGTGACGCTTGCAAGTGACCCACGTGGCTCCCTTCTCCCCGTTTCGGGGGGGCTCTGGAAACCGCGTTCGTCACCTCCCCCAAAGCGGCCGCCGAACGCGCCGGGGGAGACAGGGCTCAGGCACTGCTGCTCCAAAAATGGGAACCGTTCCATGTCAGGGGGGAGCGCGTCGCCCCCCATTTCGAGGCTGAGGTTTCGCCCGTGGCCCGGCACACCCCCTGAAGCGAAGCGCTCGTCATGCGCCATATCGGCGCCACTTGGCGGAGACCGACCAGCGTGCAGGACCGGCCGGAGCATCTTGCTGACGTCATGCTGACGCCCTCCTAGGAGGCGCGCCCAAACCAGCGACTCCTCGTGGGGGATCCCCCCAAGGCGGGACATGATGACGTGGCAAGGGGGGGAGATCTCGCCTTCGGGGATGGCCGCCTCCACCAGCGCAAGTAGATATTCACACTGGTCCAGGAGTCCGCCCAGCAGAGCCTCCAAAGCCTGGTGTGAACACGCACCCTCTACTTCTAAGTGCGTATCCTTCTGCGGAGGCTCTAGATTCAAATCATTCTCCAAGGGCCCCGCTCTTCGTTGAACCCCCCCGGACTGGGACAATTCTGGTCCGTCCCCTTCAGCCAGTCCTGGCTGCAAAAGCTCTGCCATTCCTGCCGAAAGTGACCCCCCAATTTCTGCAACGTCCGTTCTCCGACTCCGCAGAGCATTGTCGCCCGCAAGAGTCTGGACGTACGCATCGAGCAGCTCCCCCTGTCCGTCGGTCCACACGCTGACAAGTGTCGCCCCGTCATTCGCCCACACATAGCAGCAATGCACCGAGGAGCCCGCCCCGAGATCGTGTTCCCCCGCCTCTAGTTCGCCCGTCTCCCTCTCTTCCGAGCGCCCGGTAGGTCCAACCGGGCAGATCGGGGGGTGCTCCGCCAACACAACCAGCGGCTCAAACAAGAGCGGCCCGTCCCCTCCTGGGTCGCCCGACCCCGCACCCTCCTCCTGCGCCTTGCCCTTCGAAGAACCGTCGATATTAATGCCACGTGGCAGCTTGCGATTCGTTCCCCGGGCCTTTGTGTACACGTCGAAAGCGACCCGCTTGAAAGCTTCCTGCGCCCCGGTTTGGAACCCCGCCCGCGTCACGTCTCTTTCCGAAATGACTTGCAGAGTGAGCCGGGTATCTGCGAGGCTGGTTTGAGTGACCCCGAGTGAGATTCCGCTGGTTCCGGAGGTCCGGTGTCCGGTTCTGTCCCCCGAAAGGATACTTGCGATTGTCGCGGTTGCGGTTTTCGCCTGGTCGTCGGTGCAGAGCGGGAGAACCACGTAGACCACCTGGCAGGATGAATGCACTCTGATTGTTGATTATTGACGGGGATGAGATTTACGAGCAGAGTACGAAATTTGAGACGGTAATCACTGAGCGACAAAGAAGGACGACAGCATAAGTACAACACATGCAGGGCGCCTTTGCAACAGGCCCCATAACGCCCGTCTGTTCCAACGATCAGGAACTGAGAGCAAAGAAGAGGCTCCTGAACGAATACTATTCAACAAGAGGTTTTTTTTGAAGCAAGCGAAGAGCGTAAAACAATCCGTTTGCACACCCACAGCGACAAAAACCAGAGTTATTCTTCGCAAAACTTTTGCAGAAGTCGGGTTGGTGACCAATTCCATATGGGTAACTTTTGCACGGCACATCCAATAAATCAGAGCTACCAAAGACTTTTCGACCGGTTCCAGGCCGGACGAATCCACCTTTGCAGAATGGACCATGTCCATAGAAGCTTCCAGTCCGCTTCAAGGGCGTAAGCAAAGATCGAATGCATTGCTCACCACGCACGGGTCCTCGCTGCCTTCTCTGCCCTCGCGCCCATTCCCACCGACTAGTCGCAGCCTTGTTGCCGCGGTGCGAATACCCTCCACAAACGCCTCTACCCGTTCCCCCCCCGACTTCAGAGTAGCCTCGTTTCCAACCGTCGGATCTGAAGCAATTGCCACTGACGCAATCCCTGGGGCGCTTGCAGTAGCCAGATCGGGTGGCAGGGAAGCTGCCACGTGGCTGCCCAGCTGGCACATCTCGTACGTCGATCCGACCTCCTTTAAATACCGTCCGCACAGCGAAACCAGCTCCGAAGTGGCAGGGCAGAAAGCGTAGTAAACAACCGATTTCGGGGCCGCGTATGGCTCCAGGGGGGCCTTTTCCCACTGCTTCAGAACCCCCTGCGGAATCCTCAGCCAGTCTTCCTGGTACCCGACCAGAAACGGGGGGGCGCTCAGAAGCTTGAAAATGCCCACGTCCGTTTCCACCGTCTCCGCATCCGTTACGTCCGGGTTCTCTAGCGGGGGGACAGATTTGCCTGCGGAACCGACCCCCCCGGAAGGTTTTAGGGTGACGGCCCATAGCTGGGGGGGTGTCACTGGGTGCTCGATTGCAGGAGACCCAATTTGCATCGCGAGGGGAGGCTTGAGCACTCCCCCGAAACTCTTCTCTTGACACAGCTCATCAACCGTCAGCGGACCGCAAAACTTATCCTCCCCAAACGCGGCCCGAAACGCTTCAGAGACATCCGAAGCCAACACCTCAGCAACTGCAACAGCAGATACCGGTCCAACTGCTGCGAGCTCCGGTTCGTCCCAGGGACCGGTTCTAAACCCGGCTTCAATATTGTGGCAACCCGAGACTGCCTGTTGCAACAAGAGCGGAGAAAGCAGTCTCCGCTTTCTTTCCACCCCAGCCCCCCAATCCGGCGTTGCTTTTTGGAACCCCTTGTCGGAGCTTCCTTCCACAGACCCTCGTAAAAGCAGCCCCGGTTGCTGCTGGTTCGGAGCACTTGCAGACCCCGCCCACTCAGAATGGATCCCCGCCAAAGCGTCGGCACTGGGTTGCAGAAAACCCGTTTCTGAACCGATTCCGTCATTGCTAGCCGCTGCCAAAAGCCCGTTTCTTCGGGTCAGCCTGGCAGCCTCCCGTTGCAAGAGCACTAGGTCTGTAGCAACGACGCTCCGCAGCCGAGCGGAAAAACGTTGTCCGCTCAAGCCTTCCTCCTTCTGCTCAAAGGGGCGCCCCTTTCCTTCACTGTTCCGCTTTCCGGCCTTCCGTTCTCCCGCTCTCCCGACTTCCTCCTGCGCATCCCTTGGCTCGCTTCCGTTTCCGTCGTTCGGCTTCCCGGAACCCTCTAGATGTTCCCCACTTCTCTCCGCCACAACCAGCTCCCCTTTCCGGGTTTTCCGCACCCTCGGCTTCGGATACTTTCCCCTTAGCTGCACTTCCTCAGCCGGACCCTCATCCAATCCGGACGTGCCAGCTGGCAGCGCCTCATAAGCCGTGCCCTTTCCCTGCCCAAGCACCGCCCGAATAAAGTCGACTTTCGTCTCCTCAGGTCGATAACGGACACGGGTCGCGTCCTCATGGGAGGAATCGCTCCGCGCTGGCAGACTCAGCTGAGCCGCCCTGTACTCGGGGGGAACCAAGAGCAGCCCGTCGTCCTCTTCAGCGACCCCCCCTGAGGGTTTAGTCTGCGCTAGACTGTAGGTTGGACTCGGAGAACCTTCTTGAAGACCTTTGGAAAGCGGCCGTTCGTTGGTTGTGGGCTCCAAAAACAGGTCGTCCAACAGAACCTTTAAAGGTTCACTGGGGTCCACTTCGCTTGCTCCTGCCGAGAAATGGGAAGCGGTTCCGTCGCGAGCACCAGGTAACGGCTCAGCAGCAGAGGCACTTGGGGAAATGACGTCCTCGAGGATGGGTGCTTCTGTGGCGGCTTCGGGGCTGCCTTTAGGTGATGTTCCGGGGAGCTGCGAAAGGAAGGAGTAGACGTTTGGTTTGTCAGTCTTGAGAGGATAGAAAAAGTCTTGACGATGCAAGCCCTGAAGGAAGTAATGCAGGTCCGAATCTCATTTTCTGACGATATCGAATGGGCGCAAAGGTCTGACAGTCTTGGCACAGGTAAAACTCGTCAGATGACCTGAAACATGCCCGTTTACAGAGGCTGTTCTTCGACACATTTCCGCTTGCATGAGCAAGGATGATGTCATACCTACATACATAAAACAAGAAGTACTTACAATCATGATACAGCACGTGGAGTCAGACGTGCTTACCTCGCCAAAGCCCCCCACGTCCGCAAACGCGTCCCCGAAGTCCGCGAAATCCGCTAGGAGCCCCACCTCCATCCCGTCGTCCTGCCACCAGCCCGCTCCGGTGCCGGCGCCCCCTTCCCCAGCCCCGGAACCCAAAAGCTCCAAACTTTGCGCCCCCCCCTCGGTTTTCTGCACTTTACTAGGCGGTCCGTCGTCTTTCCGCAGCCCCTCTGACCGGTCCCGCTTGTGACCCGCGACCTCCGCCTTGACACCAGGCTCTGGCAACTGCCCCTCCGCAGGCTCGTCCTCTGCGTCGGTGTCAACTAAGCTTCCGCTTTCGCTTCCGCTGTCATCGTCGCTGGCTTCTTGCTCGGACGGCCAGCCGGCAAGGCTGGCCACCTGCGGGTTTTCGAAACCGTTTGTGACGCCGACACCGCTAACCGTCTCTAAACCCATGCCGATCCGGAGCTCGGCCGCGCATTGCCTGAGGTTCGGCAGTGAGACCAGCACCCGCTCAACCGGGAGGATCAGCCTGTCCGGCCCAGCTGAGTTCCGCCCGGCCGAAGTTCGTCCGGCCGGATTCAGTTGGTCTGGACTCTGTTTAGGGCAATCAAGTGCAGAGAGACTTTGAGCGACTGAAGCCTTGTTGAGGACCTGAAACCCCCTGTCCGATTCTTCAGCAGTGGCAGGGCCGCCGGCAGGCGGGTGATCAGAATCCCGACCCGTCTGTGTATCCGCCTCCCGATTCTCCTCAGACTCGTCTTCTAGTATTCCAGCCGGCCGCTGTTCCACTTCGACCTTATCCAACTCCAGAGGGTTTCGAAGGGTTTCGGATGGCCGCCTGGTAACCCCAGCCTTTATGCCCGCATGTGAGCTCCCGTCAAACTGTACTTCCACATGCTGACCAATCCCCTCCGCACGACCCTCATGCTTTCCCCGTCGTTTTTCAGACTTCTTCGCAGCCCGGTGCTTTTCCCGGCTGTCCAAGTCCTCAGAACGTGGCTCGAAGTCGAGGGGTTGGGTTAAGTCAGGCTGGGTTAGCCGTGCCACGAGTTCAGGGGAGCAAGAGCCGAGAAGGAAGGCGGGCTCGCCAGAGGGGCTGCAGATGACTGCAAGGAAGGGGACAAAGGATTTACGTCTCTGCGCGTGAGCACAACGATGGGTCTTTCTAAACCAGACGGAAGGTGCGGGCGCAACAGCGGCCGTTGGAAAAGTAGCTTGGACATACAGAAGTTGTCCAATATCAACAGGATGAAAGTGATTGGCAAAGAACATGGTGGAAAAGGATCCAGCCGAGGACTCATACAACGTCTTGAAGACTTGAGGGGGAAGCCCAGACGCGAAGCTCCTTTTCAAGGTCAGAAGTGCGACGAGAGAACCAGCCGATACATGAAGCATAGAGTGCATTGAAGGCCATTACAGAAACATATAGCAGCTTTTTCTTTCATTGCGAAGACATACAGAATTTGTGGCTCAAAAAGGACGTGAGCTTAAGGCATCAGCACTTCTCTGGAGGACATGCCATGTCTTCTCCTTACCTTTGAGCGGGCGACTGGCGGAAAGGTCGCTCAGTTTAAGACGGCGCACATTCCTGCACGCGGGATGACGTTACTATTTTTACGGCCGCCAATCAAAGCTTCACTTCTGACTGAAGTGGCACCCTGATGACGTCACAAGTTGCTGAACCCGCATGCCAATCTGCATAGCTCATTTAAAATCTAGGTCAAAGCGCAACGTGACCTCCTCGATCACAAAGTCTCTGTTTCCCGGATGATCTGTCAAAACATAGATTAGACTTTGTTTCCACGAAGGCGGGTGAAAAGCGGAGCAGGATGCTTTGGAGATCCTAACCGAAGAGCCATTCGCCACAAGCCGTGTCAAACGGGACAACGCCAGGTCTTTCTTAGCAGACGGCAGCCATACCAATATTTCACTTGCACGGTGGAAACGGAGCACTCCTCGTCGCAAGTGCCTCGTTTCGTTGTGCGGCTTCGATAGCAATTGGGCATCTCAGGAGAGCTTACCGCCTTGAAACATTCGCCTGGAGGTAGAGGGAGTCGGGGCTGCTCAAAAGACGGACCTCGCACGCAAGGAGGGGACTGCATACCAAGTAGCGAACAAAAAAATCGAGGAGGCGCCCACTGGAATACAGGAGCGCTCAAGCCAGCTTCGAACCAACCATGTGCCTGTTTTCAACGGTGATTATCTGTGGGCTCAAGCAAGTTGCATGTATGCTTCGGTTTGGAGACCTAGGGTTGATAGCCGTGCTGGCGGTTTCTCACCCACAGCCTTATTGGTCGATGCGGCCCTTTGGGTCAATGTGGCCCATTAATAAGAAGCCCGACGGATTACCAATACGCAGCTGCGTTTTGCAACGTCGAAAACGTAGTTGCGCAAAAGCAGGGAGGGAGGTAGAAAATCCTGACATCGCAAGCGAACGTTCGCGGTCTCAATGTCTCGGTCAGAACACTGCTACGAGTCCCAATCTCTCAACGGTCGTTTTGGCCCCAACCCACCTCTCTACTGACGGGTCTTGTCGTCCGGTGCGGATGAACACGTCCCCAAATTTGTGGTAGGACAGGTCCTTGAACGCCCTGGAGTTCGTGAATACAAAAGGCTTGTTAGAAAGACTGACAGGTGCAGATGCAAGGGGACAGCAGCTTAGACTTAGCGTCAACAGTCGCTTGAGATTGGTAGGTGAAAACAAAGCCTAAATGCCGTACTTCCCTTGCACTGGATCCTTTCGCCGAAAGTTGCCCTCTTGGACCGCGTTGGAAGACCATCTGTCCGAGCATGGTCCAAGCAGTTCTTTCATCTGATAAACTCGCCCTGAAAGAGCAAGGCGTTGCTTGGCAGTGCTCAGCACCCGGCGGTCTTTTCTAACTTATTACTAAGTCGAGATGGATTGACCGTTTTGAGAAATGTCGGGCTCGCTGCCTTTAAGACTTTGTCTTGAGAATCTCAAAACTGAATGACGAATTTCGCAACAGACTAGGTCAGAAACGGATTTACCCTTCAGGGCTACGAGCAAACGAGCAATTGGATTGGCAGCTGATATTCTGACCTGGTAGATATCGAGTCTCCATCATTCGTCCTACGATGGCCACGTATTTGCGACACACGTTTCCGACCACCTTGTTTTGCCAGAGTCAATTCGAGCTTGGTAACCGTACCTACTGCGACACCATGATTTCCAGGTGATTGTATAAGAGTTTTGACTCACCTTTCCAGCTTATTGGCGATTGCTTGCGAGAGCGCGTCAGAGACCGATGGCTGCCGTGATTGGGGGCTCCATGTTCCAGTTGCGGTCACTGTCAAACACACTCATAAGTGGTCAATCAGTCTGCTAGGCTGAGCACTAGATCTGCCGGCTAACTCGGCCTTAACCTAGAGGTAACCAGCTTCCGATTCAGATCGCTTTTCATAAGGGCCCACCTAGTTCCGAAGATTGTTTATCCCATTTTTCCAGCTTCTCTGTTTGAACCGACAGGAATCAATTCTAACTTCTTGTTTCGAGAATCGCAGTTCTTTGCTCAATTCTTACTTTGATACAAGCATCATCAATATTGCTGGCCGCGAGCCTCAACCGTCAACAGTGGTTTGCAACATCGCTTGAGCGACTCGCTGCGTACCTTGGAAGCCGGGTAGCAGCATCAGCAGTTCTTTGTTTGGATCATCGCTGGGGGCGGAGGACACCGTCTCAAAGTGCCAGAGCTCGAGGGGGGAGGCTGGAGAACCAAGATCCATGCCAGGATTTGTACAGGGGCAAGTCGGCTGACGACACTGAAGGTATTCAACGGTTTGAGAACAGCCAGCAGTTAAGTAAAGAAACAGAGCTGAGGCCCCTGGATGAAGTGTGGGGCCTTCTTTTGAGAACTGCCAGGCTCCCTAGGTCACCTCTTCTACTTAACATATCTTGCTCTTGAGAATGTTGACACCAGACTAAGATGCAAGTCAGGCGTCCAGGCGGGGAGCTTGAAGAATTATTTTCATAACTTCCGTCACAACGATTGCACCAAGGACCAGGATAATGTTGAGACGGGCGGCCGGCAGTCTGTCAAAACTCTCGATCGCTAGCAACTCTTCAAATGATACTATATGTCACGTAGTAGAAGAGTTTATGTTTTCCTGAAGACCTTGTCATGGGTTTACGTCGGAACGCCTCACTCTGTACTCCCCCCCCTGTTTTTGTATCATCGCTTGGTATTACTCTCCATGTTGTCAAGTGCCCCAGGTTCAGAAGCTTTAAAAACGCCTCTAACACCAGATTGGCAGCCTCTGTGCCCCCGGCTGGCCCCCCAGCTTCTGGTGTCAAGAGAACCCAGTGAAGCCTCTCATAACCAGTCTGTGGAGCGGCCAAAGTTAGGCAAACTTGTTCCCGGGATGTGGGCAAGAGCTCTCTTTGTCATGAGCTCCTTTATCGTGTTGTGCTTAGAGGGGCAAAATTTACACATTACCACTCTTTCAAAGGACATCAGACACCAAATGCAGGAATTTATGCGAGCTGTCGCTGTATTGCTTGGGTGACCAGCATTCGAGCGAGGACGGTAGATGCACAGGTGTGTTAGTCTAGCATAATGCAGCAAAAGTGGTGCGTGCTGAGGCGCGGAGTTGAGATTACCAATGAATTCCTGCTTTACCTCCCAAGCATTTTGACCAGATTTCACCTCCTCCTTTGAAGCATGAGGACTTGCCACAGTACTCGCCGACAAAAGTCATGCAATGAAAGCTGGACTAGGGTACCCCATTTCCTTACATAAAGGTGAAAGTTAATCTACGCACAAAGATGGTGCAATGCAGATGACTTACCAATCTGAAGATGTTTGAGAGCACCATTGCTATCGCCTCACTTCCATAACTTTCGATTCTGGCACCTCAAAAAGATTGCCCTTGTCCTCACATCACTGTTCTCTTCACCTGCTGGCCACTTCGCAGAAACGCTAAATTCAAGAACTCTCATGCCTCAGCCACCATGCACCATTGCACGGGCAGTGTAGCACCCTCCATTCGCCTCGTCTTTCCAACGGTCAGGCCTGCACTCCCTCTCCCAGGGCCAAAGGTCCTCCCAATCTCTTGCATGGAAACAGAAGGTCTGGTGTTCGATTCACTAAACAATATTTTCAAAGAGGATTTCATCCGTCTTGGCATAGAATCCGATGGAAATTGCCTTTTCAGATCAATCAATGTCGCTCGCGGCCTGCTAGGATCCCAGCATATGATCCTGCGAAACTTGTGCGTTCGCCACATAGTGATGAACTGGAACAGATACTCATTGTACGCAAACTTTTGCCAAAAACCTGATGTCCCCGAGGCCCCGTCCACGGAAAGTATCAGCTCGTCCCAATTGTTTCCAAACGCTCAAGCTTACAGTAACTACATGGGTCAAGATGGGAACTGGGGAAGTCAACTTGAAATTAATGTGCTAGCGCACGTACTCCAAGTGCCAATTCTCGTTTGGAAATTGGAAACAAGAAAACCAATGGACATAATAAATTACAGGCCGCAAACCAATCGATCGGCAAATATGATACATATTGTTCACTGCAACGGCAACCACTATGAAGCACTCATTTACCCAGGAGGCCGAGATACGAACATATTATTAACGAAACATTTGGCGGAACAACAATTAGCTGAGCGCGAGCTAATTCGAATTCCAAATCAAGAAACTTCGACTTCAGAACGTCGAGATTCTCAACTTAGATGCTGAATTGAAAACCAAAAAGCGTACTCAATTATCAGAATATCACGATGCGGATCCAGTAAAGAAGCGCCGATTTGCTGGCCCGCAGAATGTTAGAATTCGACCATTTCCAGGATCAGCGTGGCAAAGCCGCAACGATCAGTCGGCGACCTTTTTGGAATCACATATAACGTTTTCGAACAAGGATCTGTGCT